AAAAAAAAAACGGTTTTCTGAATTTCACCGACAGCTCCCCAACCCCCCGCCCCCCCTGCATAAAAGAATCTTTCTTTGCTAAACTCGCTGACAAAGAGAAAGAGCTGATAGGGGGAAGAAAAGGCTGTATAGATGACACTCTGTTTGTCAGAAAGCATGCCGCGGTGCTGCTGGGGACAGCATTAATGAGATGAGGCTCTGAGGGGAGAATTGCTAGATGCTGAAATTTCAAACAATGGGAGCTAAATATAGGATAGGAAAATTGTGCCATATCACTGTTGGCATTAGTGCATTTTTGTCTCCTCGTGGTGCTTTAACTCAAAAACAAGGCGTTTTCTTGTAACTTCCTCTCTGCCGGTTGCCATAGTGCCTCACTAACTAACTTAACTAGCGGGGCCTCTTTAGCTGATGGAGCTCACCCCAGTGTAGGCTGGGCTGTAATAAACAGGCATCGTGGGTCCGAGCCTGGTTCCTGGCCTGTGGTTGATTATCGAAGTAGCTCCTGGGTTCATTAAGGAATTCTAAGAACCAATTCAGCACTTGTTGGAAGGTTCAAAGTCTGTAATGGCAGAGATTTCTGTGGCAGAAAAGCACTACATTAGTGTAAGGAATTATGATTATTTCTAGTTGTTCAGGTGGGGAGCTGCATCAGTGTGCGTAGGCTGCAAAGGAACAAGTTAGAGGTTTATTCCCTGCTGAAAAGAGAAGAGAGAAAACACAACTATCAGCTGTGGAGCCTTCTTCGGGTGTAAGAAAGATAGGGCGGTCAGCAAAGATAATATAGCAGGGACAAATATAGGGAGAAAATAAATTTGACCCTAGTTGTTTTGGAGGCATTTCAACTAGCAATTTGGGATGCCGTAAATGGGAGTCTTGTCCAAGTAGATTGTGCGTCAATACCAGAAAAAGCTTTCCTTCCTGCACAGATAATTACTAATGCACAGATTGCATCGCCAATACATGTTACAGAGACCAGGACAATGGGAAATGACAAGACTCGGCTCAGTGCTTTGAGAGAGAGCCACTTCGATCGGCCCTTTTCTTTTATCTCCAGGACGCGTCCACGTCCAGTTGACTGAAAGAGGCTGTAAAACGCACAATTGCAAATCTAGTCAGAAACAGCACGGCCAAGAGGAATTAAACGATTTTCTTCTTTCTGCTGCTCTCAGACGTGTGCGAGAAAAACCAGCCAGGGGGTTTATGGGGAGTTCGATAACAAGGGGCCAATTCTGAGAGCCGGGGCTGGGAGTTGGACTGGTCTGCTCCGTTCACACCCTGTCCTTGGGTTCTGTCGCCCCCTAGTGGTACCCGGAGGTGCGGCACCACTGCCCCTCCACCCCCATCATCCTGGTGGGCACCAAGCTGGATCTGAGGGACGAGAAGGACACTATCGAGAAGCTGAAGGAGAAGAAGCTGGCGCCCATCACGTACCCCCAGGGCCTGGCCCTGGCCAAGGAGATAGGTGGGCATCTTCCCGTGTGTGCGTCGGGCGACCAGGAGGGGGCGACGTGGGGCTCGCGTAGCTGTGA